AAAGAGTAAGTGATGTGTGCCGGTGATGTGACGTTCTAGCATGCATTTACCATGAGTTTTAAAACAAAAGAATGTTGATCATAGCAGAAAGTCGTTTGCTTTAGTGGCCTGTTTCTTTGTGATCAGTCAGGGTGTGCCAGTCTTAAATTTTTATAACTTGCAGTGGTCAAGCTACAGGAAATATGACTTGGTACTCTCTGTTTAGTAGCAGCTTAAATAGATGCATGTATTTTTTACTTTATTCGAGTAAAAGACTTAACTTTGAGCAAGCATGCATGCTATTTTATTTACTCTTAACATTAACTTGGAAATTTACTTTAGAGAAAATTAAACAGACCAGCCCTTGGTCATAGGCTTCCAGTTAGGCCAAGCAAAAAAGAACTGGAGTATCTGCAGCTATTTGAAGATGTTTATCCATTGGTTCAGCCAGCACTCTCCTTAGAGTTCTGAAACTTACACTGTTGTAAGTCTAGCAAAAGAGTGGAGACATAAAAAAATTTTCAAGTAGCATTTTTTGGGCATAGAAAATAGAGAGTGTTTGGGTTGGTAGTAGGAGGAAGCTTGCATGATGCCAGGATACCATGCTCTGTGTTTTAAGGATAAACAAAATACCTTGCATGTAGACTGCAAAGACTACTTTTTTGTTGGTACTGAATTATTTAAAAATTTGACTGTGGTAGTAAGTTTTTATTAAATTGTATATGTTACTGGATTTTGCCTTGGTTTGCAAATAAATAACCAATTAATGTTGACAAATACTTTTTCTTTCTTATTGTTAGGCAATTGGAGAATTCATTTTGGTGGAAAGAGATGTGAAAATCAAAAAGAAGGGAAATATCTACAGTCTCAATGAAGGCTATGCTAAATATTTTGATCCTGCCGTCACAGAGTATCTCAAAAAGAAGAAATTCCCTGAGGTAAAAGACCCTGTTTCAGATAAACTTCCTGATGACAAGCAACATTAATGATTTCCAGCTTTATGATCAATCACTCATTTTCCTCTCATACACTGTTCAGAGCTGGTTTTCCTTTCCTGTCTATTTAAAATATAACTTGGTGTAGGATTGCTAATGAGAGCAGCAGTTGATATAACCAGATATTTCAGCATTCTCCAATACTACACTGCACCTCTTCTGCATTTTCTTACTTTCTTCCTTTTTTCTTTTTTTGAATCTTTTTTTATGAATGAGGGCCTGAGTAATGGTGCTAGAGGCAAAACTGGGCATTTGGTAATCATGTAGAGAGGAAATCTTGTCTGGTGATGAAGAAATTTAATCAACATGCATTGTATTGCTGCTTCCTCACTGCAACATCTGAGTAGCTGGAGAGTGGAGTGGAAAGTGCATCATTGCTCGGTGGTAACACAAGCTGTGTCCGGGGGATGCCTCTCTCTTGAAAATATAGTGTAGTTTCAAGGTCTGCTTTGTGATTGTGCAACTTTCTGGTGTCAGGAGGCCCAAAGCTCCGAGGAATGCCCATAAAACCTTGTCATGCCTTACACATTTCATCACTGGAGTTGTTACACTGACAGTGAAATGTGAACACCTACTATTGTTAAGTGTCCCTTCCTGACTTCCTGATCTTGCTTTGAAAGAAGATTGATGTTTTTATCATTCATCTTTCCAGGCTTTAGGTGTTGTTTATATAGATATTAAAACGTACTTCAGGGAGTAGAATAAGAAAATAACATCCAAAGTAAACTATTAAGTTTTTCTTAACAAAAAAATTGCAGAAGCGGGAAAAAATCGTTGGAAGATGTAGGAAAGATCACTTCTTTTACGCTTTGATTCTTTTTCTGCTAGAAAAGACAAAGCCCCAGTATCAGTTCCTAGCATTTGAGTTTTTGCTACTGGAAATGCAGTGTTTTCCAAGTGTTAGAGCCAGAGGAGAGCTGGGATACATTTTTTGTTGTTGGCACTACTGCTCATCTATGCTGAAGTCCTCTGTCACTCCTTTTCCTTGTATTTTCCTGGTTAGCAAATGAAGAGGATACTGACATACTCTCCAAAACTACTTTGAGTATTATCAATGAAGCATGACATGGAGATGAAAGATGTTAGGGCAGCTAAAGGGGCATGTGGGAGAGGTTAACCTGGTGTGCTCTACATGTACTTTTATTGGCATGTTTTTCTGTAGGATGGCAGTTCACCGTATGGTGGGAGGTACATAGGATCTATGGTGGCAGATGTTCATCGCACACTGGTGTATGGAGGAATCTTTCTGTATCCTGCTAACTCCAAAAGTCCCAAAGGAAAGGTAAGCCTGAATAAGCCCAGTTACAGAAAACACTGCATTATGTAGACATGTCACTATTCTATCAAGATGAATATTTTGATTACAGAGCCTGTGGTTTTTAAGTTGGTAGTTTGTATTTCTTGTGTGGGAGGATATGCCTATCCCTTGCACACTGTCACAAGTGACAGCAGCCTGTTGTCAGACACGTGTTTTAGGGCTGCTGCTCACCTCTTTCATCTGTAGTGACTTCTCTGTATCTGCAAACATATCCAGCTTGTGGACCATACCAGGGACTGGGCTGCTCAAACAGGCTCCCCTGCACCATGTCAGCAAAAACTGGTGATGCTGGTCCCAACCCAGTAGAACATTACAAAGCAAACAATCCGCATTGCCCTGAGATTTCTAGTACGAGCTAGTATGTAAAAAGCCTAAATGTAGTTGGCCCACTGGGAGAAGCTCTGCCAAAGAGAAAACTGTCTGCATCTTGTGTGTGGTAACGGGACTCCACGTAGAGGAACCGTGCCTGGCTGCATCTGCCAGGACAATGGTCAGTCGGGGAAGATCACGCACTTACAGACTGACAAGGGGACTGTTTATTCGGCAAAGACCTTTGATCTGTTTTGTAATTCTCCGTAAAATGTTGCTTCAGATTGCAGATAAGATACGGTTATTCATTAGAGAAACCTAGTGGCACGCTCAGAGCACATGTTTTTCTTTATTTTCACACAGTTCTTTGTGGTGTGCCTGGTTAACAGTTGAGTCTTAATATACAAGCTTTATCTCTCTGTAAATCGCCCAATGCAAACATGGGCTATGGAGAAAGCACTCAAACGAGGCAAATCCAGCATTCACTGTGTTTTTTAAAGAAAAATCCACACAATTTCATTATTGAGTCAATGTTTATATGAAATAAAGAACACTTAGAAAATTGATTGGTTTAAAATCATATGCCGAATACATTTACATTTCATTTTTCTGGCATTGCCTGGCCTGACTTCTGCCATTTTGACTTTTGTCTTCTAGCTGAGACTGCTCTATGAATGCAATCCTATGGCTTTTGTTATTGAGAAAGCTGGGGGTATAGCAACAACTGGTCATCAAGCAGTACTAGATATAGTGCCTGAGGATATCCACCAAAGAGTGCCTGTTGTCTTGGGGTCTCCTGATGATGTGAAGGAGTACCTCGAGATAGTCAAGAAGCATTCAGCTAAGTAAAGAAAGCTTGCTGGATTCACTGTGCACAGGGGATAAAATGTCTTACAGCTGAACCAAAGAATGCGCTGCAGTACTGTGAGATTGAGCTGTCTGACTTCTGTAGCAAAAAAGCAAATGAGCCATATTTTCATAAGATTTTTTTTAAAGTGAAATCATGTGCAATTGCATTGTGCAATGAAAGTCATTAAAAAGATTGCATTAAAGGAAACATTAAAAATTAAAGCAATGGGAAAATATGTTTGGTTTTTTTTTTATTTATCATTTGTGGTTACAGAAGAGCCACATGTGCTGCAAGGAAATACTGTGTTGCATTCAATATCTAGGGAGAAGAGACTCACCTTTCTCAGACAAGTTACAGACTATCAGCAGTACAGTTGACTCTGTCCTCTTTCAGAAGTCTTGGGAGGAAGACTCAGCAGCCTTTTACAATGAGTGACCTTTCCTAGAGCAGTGTCTACACCCCAAAAGTTGCTCGGTGTACTTCAGTCTGCGTTTACTCTGATGGAGAATCAATGTTTGTGAAAATAGGCATTCGTGTAGGTTAATTCTGTGATATGGTGTTAATATTGCTGGTTGCCACTCTATTAGATCCAGTTACACAAGGGTGGAAAATGACATTTTAGTGTGTAGGGATTTTAATGGGATAAAGAGTATGTGTAGACAGCTCGTACATACACAGATTCTGCTGTGATGAGCTGGCGATCTCAGCCAAAAATTAACCTGCTTACTTGATGAAAACATGAAATTGTGTATTGCTAGCAACCTCCACCAGATGTTCTTTGTGTTATTTTGGGATTGTTATTTGGAATCGGGGATTACCATGGAAAAGGATTCTGCTATGCAAGCAGGAGGGAGGTGTGAAGATCCCCCCCAAAGCATACTGACATTTAATATGCTGATTCAGAGCGTGCTGCTGGGAAGAGCATGCTAGTGCTTGGGAGCTAGGTGGACTGTCCACCACTGTCTGGATACAGTTTTTGTATCAATTAAAATCAGCAGATCTTTGATACTTCTCACTGTCCACTTACCTTCACCAAACTGAAAGTAAGGATTGCATGGATGTGGCTGTGGGTAGACTTCCACTGAACATTGACTCAGTTCAGGGTCTGGGAGGTCCTGTCTAGGGGGGCCATGAGCATAGTTCTTCCTGTAAAACTAGAGAGAAACTGAAATCCAGGGTGCAAGGGCATATTCTGCAAGGGCTCAGACAGATAAAAACCTGAGGACCTTCATTCTGACAAGTCATGCTGGGGCATTTGGAGGCATACTGACAAACCTTAAGACAGTTGTATATATGCATCTGTTCTCTAGACTGATGGGGGACAAGACATTTCTGTCAGGGACTGAATGGCCTAATTTCTGCTGAAAATTCTGATGAGACTTTGCTAGTGGAGACAACTTTCCAGGACCTGAACCCTTAGAGGACAATGAGAGTGCTGGGCAGTAGTCAATTTAGATTACAGTGTCTCTGTGGTCTGTTAGCATGACTTGGCAGACAGAATCCACAGCAATGATTTTTGCCTAGTTACTACAGTTCCTTGTCTGTATTCTGCCCTCAAGCTTTACAGGAATGCTGGACTGCATATATCTATTTTTAATACACCATTCTGACAGTATGTAAAGGTTATAGGAAGAAAGTCAATACTGTCCATGTTTGCTAGGTCAGTTCTCAGTGTTTTGGTTTTGCCTGTAGGCTGACATTTTGTACTTAGCACTTTACCCATTGTGAGCTGGATTTATCTTCCAACCAGTAATATGTAAGTCCACATTTGAACAACATCCCTGGCTAGCCACCAGTGGGGAGAACTACTTAGCAATCTCCTTCCACATCCCCCTTTCCAAAAATCTCCCTGCCTGTCAGTGCAGAGCAGGTGGGTTTGTCACAGTGTCTGCTGTCAGCCCCCCTGGCAGTTCCACCCACTGCCCTCCTCAGGGGCTGCACTGTGGCCTTTGATGAAAGGTCGCTGGCTCCAGTTTCAGCTGGCGCCGTCCAAGTGACTAACATTTCATATCAGTTAGAAAAGGTGTCACCTTTAAGTCTCAGGACTGGCCCATACACCAGCACAAGTGTGAATAATCCTCAAGAGCTCTTTATGTCAGAGGGCGAATCTACCAGATCTGTCAAATTGAGGTGTTTATTTTTTTTAACCTTCCTATTCTATTCCAACCCCTTGTACTGAGAGGTTCTCAGGCTTGTAGACAATCATCACACATTTTTACACAATCTGATTTCTCCCCACCTCCCCAGAATGGTAATTATTTATATAGCCTAATCATTCCACATAATCATTTGGGTCATTATGTTTCAGTGGGATCACAGTATTTATCAAAACAGGCTGAAGCTTTCATGCAATCCAACTGTGTGCCTTTATCCAAGTTTTATTTCTCTTTTTGCTATACTGTTGACTGCAATATTTATGGAAAGATTGGTTGAAGAATCTGTGTTCTTTACATGATAGTGTAAGTTAATTTCTTATTGAAGGACTGTTATTTGAGAAGCTCAAAGCAGTGTGCCTTATAGATACTAAATAACCCAGTACCTACAAAATACATCTGTGGATTTTACAAAACAAAACAAAACAAACAAACAACAAAAATCCCCAAAACCAACCAAACAAAAAAAGGGCAAATAGTGGACTTATTAGCTCTGAAAACACTCTTCGACCCACTAACTCCAAAACAAACTTTCTCTTAGAAGATGATGTGAACTTTGTCCAGTCTAAAAGATCACTTGGAATCAACAGAAGATCTGCATGTGATGTTTTGACAAAAGTTAGAAATCATTGGCCAACCCCTACCCCATTTCTTATTTACTAATTTGATTCAGTATACCTTTGGTATTTTAGTACAGGTCAAGCAGGCAGCTGCCATGATGATGAAATAATGTGCAGAATGTAATGGTTGTATTTTGGGCCAGCAAATATTTTTGCACGTATAAGGTGAAACCTATACCTTTTATTGATCCTACCATGTGCTTTACCAAATCTCCCTACATACATTATTTTTGGTTTTCTACAAAGTCTGTTCAAAAGAAGAAAGTTTCCTAACCAGGCAGAACATGCTGCGTAATGTTCGTCTTGTGGTGTGAACAGATTCCTGTACATTTAACTATATCACTGGAGTAGGAAAGAGAAATCTTCAAGATTTCTTTCTTCTTCAACCATTGCCTTAGAGGATGTATAAAACCTGCCTGTTGCTCCATCTGAGCAACTCCACTCACCAGTCCTTTCTCTACCTTGGACAGGACTGGAAAATCATCCCCAAAGCTAAGCACATTGGATGGAAGCAGCACTGAACTCTGTCTTTCTGCCTGTGGGTAGTGTTCAGTGCTGTCAATCTCTAAAACCCTTTTTTTTTTTCAGATGATTTCAAAGTAGAAAACCTTAGATTCCTTTAAAACTCTACAAGTAATGTATTTTTTATAGATGAAGAGACACTTCCAGGAAAGTCTGAAGAAATGCTAAAGATTAAAAAAGGGTTGCCAAGGGAAATCAAACCTTTTTGGCTTCAGCTGCAGTTCCTATTAACAAAAACACATTGGGTTTTGTTACTGAATTTTGTTTCTGTCTTCTTGGAAAGATTTTAGCGCAGTAATTTGGGTTAAAGGAATAACAATGAAACTTAATAAAACTTTTCTTCTGTTATGCTTGATTTTGTTTTGGTGGTGGGCTTTCAATGTCTTCCACTTAAAAATAAGAGTGCTGCTAGTAAGTAAAACGAAGGCTACAGCATGTAACAGCATATAGTTTTTCTTACTGCCTAGTCAGAGTGGGAAGACAGTGCTGTAATTAAAATCCATAACTGGTTCCAGATAGCACAGTATCTAATGCACAATCTAACACATTACTTGGACAGTGTCTGTCTACCTTCACATTGGCATCATGTGCTCCAAGGATATTGCTTATAAAGAGTTACTACTAGCATAATTGCAAATTTGGACATACCTATATTTACATGGTGCACTACAATATGAAAGCCAACATAAAATTTCATTTTGTGATCTATGCCGTTGACATGCTCAAATCAGAGAAGCCTTATTTGTAAATTATTGAAGATACAATTACTTTGTAACTAGTCAAGCCACAGCTAACCAGTACTTCTCATTCATTCAAGTACTATAATATTACAAACAACTCAGACCAGGAATTAAATCATTAAAATGGAACTGCAACAGACCAACTAGCAACATAAAACACATGTCTAAATGTACCCCTTCAAAATCTTCCTTCAGAGCAGGGGCCAGAAGGGAGTGGAAAAACAGGGCTTATGGGAAGGGAACTTCACTGGAGTCACAGTGCTGTGGGACACTGTGGCACACATGGTGATAACTGGTGCCTGGTGCCTTAATTTCTGGTGCCTTTAAACATAGACTTGGCTAAGCTGAGCCCATTGCTGAGCAGGATCTACAGGAAAGCCATTTCCAAGAATGCAGCCAGCAAGAGTTTTGCATTATAATCAGTCTGAGCTACAGAGAGAATATGTAACTAGATCTGCACAGAGCTAATTTCAGTGCATGGGGAGAACAGACGAGCAGTAGTTGCTCAGCTGTAGTCCTGTCTCAGGCTCCTTTCCTGCATCCCAGCGGGGCCACGGAGCCAGCCTGGGGTGCAGTTATTCTGAGCACTCAAATCACATGGTCTCAGAAACATCTTAATAAATTCTGACCAGCCACACAGCCAAACACAGCTTCACCTCGAAATATAACAGCTCCCCAGGATCTCAGCACAGCAAGAGAGTATCTTGTCCAGCCGAGAAGGCAGGAACTCTGGTACCCAGCAAAGATGAGTGACAAAAGCCCCTTCGAAACGGATATGCTGACACTCACGCGATTTGTCATGGAGAAGGGACGCCGCGTCAAGGGAGCCACCGGGGAGCTGACGCAGCTGCTCAACTCCATGCTGACTGCCATAAAGGCCATTTCTGCTGCTGTCAGAAAGGCAGGCCTCGCCCACATGTGAGTCCTACCTTGCACTACCGGGAGGAAGAGGAGGCAGAGAGATAGCTACTCTATAGCTAGGCTAGGGAGTGGGCAGGGATTCATAAACACCTTGGACGTGTCTTTCTTAAGCTGAGTAAGGTCAGAGCCTGGATTATCAAGAGTGGGAAGCAGGAGAGCTCGCTCTCTGGAGCATTTTAATAATGGGTGCAAGATAGGCCTTTAAACTAACTGCTGTTCTGTAATGTTTTACTCCAAAAATGTAAGTCAGAACAGAACTTCAATGCGCTGCTCACCTTG